ATGGTACATGTTTATAATACTAGAAACTTGGGAGGTAGAAGCAGGAAGGATTGTTAATTCAAGATTATTCTTGACTCCATAGTGACTTCTAGGGTAGCCTGGACTACACAAAGCTGCTTTCCAGAAGTGAAAGGAAGCATTCCAAAATGATGCTGACCTTTTCTAAAGAATAAAGAGGTTAGCACCAAAGTTGATTCTTTGAAAAGAGAGGGACCGACCCTTTGTTCCACTGAAGATACAAAACAGCATTTTATTATACTTATATGAAGCAGAGCTCAGGTTTAATAACGATTTTTAACACATACTTAAGCATTAGGGTTAAGAGAAAAAAAGTATCTGAGAAAGTAAGATACACCCAATGTGGGCTTCCCTAAGACTGAGTCATAGTGATGGTGGTGCATGCCTTTAATCCCAGCACTCAGGAGACGGAGGTAGGCAGATCTCTATGAGTTTGAGGTCAGCCTGGTCTACAGAGTGAGCTCCCGGACAGCCAGGGGTACACAGAGAAACCCTGTCTTAAAAAACCAAACCAACCAAAAGAAACAAACAAAAAAGAGTTCAAACTTTGGATCCAGGCTCTTCAAGATTCACCCATATAGAGTATTTTATTTTTTAAATTTATACATTTTATTTTTATGTGTATATATGTTCCTGAGTGTATGTATGTGTACCACATGCATGCATGAGCTAGAGGATGTCATAAGAGATCATATCCTCCAGAACTGGAGTTACAGGCCAATGTGAGCAGCCATGTGGGTGCTAGAAATCTATCTGACTCACAGAATTTAGAATCACCTGAGGGATAGGCCTCCAGGAATACTGTGAATGATTATTTTGACTACATTGTTAATTGATGTTGGAAGACCCACTTTACTGTGGGCAAGAACATTCCCTAGGCAAGGCTTCTGGACTATATAAAAAAGAGCAAGCTGAAACTTATAAGCATGCATTCATCCATCTGATTCTGACTGTGGGATCACTGTAACCAGCCTGCTGCAGGCTCCTGCTACCTTGACTTCCTTGACATGATGGACTAATAGACCTTTTAGGTTGCTTTTTCTTTTCTTTTAATGATTTATGCGTATAAATATTTTGCCTGCATGTTATATGTGTACACCATATGTGTGAACTTGTTGCCCATGGAGGTCAGAAAAGGGCATCCGATCCCCTGAAACGTTACAGATTTGTGTGCCACCATGTGGGTGATGGGAATCAAACCTGGGTCCCATGTAAGAGCAACAAGTGCTCTTACCTGCTGAGCCATATCTTCAGTCCCCCTTAGGTTGCTTTTACCAGAATGGTTTATCACATAAACAAGAAAAGAAACAGGCATTCAGGTTCACTGAAACTATAAATGAATGAATGAATGAATAAATATAGGTTTGTACACAGAAGTACAGTGATCAAGGAGGTAGAAGGCATGGATATATCCTGGAGTCGAATTATAGGCAATTGTCAGCTGCCTATATGGGTACTAGGAGCTGAACTCAGGTCCTCTGGAAGAGCAGTATCTGCTCTTGACCACTAAGCCATCTCTCCAATTCCTAAGAATTATTTCTGTTTTATTACGTGTATGTATGTTTGCTTGTGGGTATGTGCATGTGACCGCAGGGGCCAAAGAGCCTTTAGGCCTCAGATCCCCCTTGTCAGATGTGAGCTGCCGAATAGGGGTTCTGAGAACAGAACGTGGGTCCTCTGCAAGAGCAGTACCAGCCCTTAACTGCTGAACCATCTCTTCAGCCCCTTATAACCCAAGTTTGATCCCCAAGACAAAAATGGTAGACTGGAAGAACTGACCTCTCACCTCTGCACATGAGCCTTGGTAAACATCCACCCATCCTCAAGCATGCTCACATAAATAAACAGTATATGTTTGAAAAATGAGCCAGACACGGTAATACACTCCTATAATTCCAGAACCCAGAAAGCTAAGACACAATTGTCAGTTCTAGGCCAGGCTTGGAAAAAGACCAGTTCCATATATATATGAAATAAAGAAAAGAAAGCAAATAAATGGACTCACAAGGCTCGCACAGTACATAACAGATAAGAAAGTCTCATGAAAAAGTGAAATTTAAACTGACATGTAGTTGACTGACAGAAACTAGCTGGGAATGACAGTACAAGCTTATAATCTCACGACTTGGAAGGCGGAGGCAAGAAGATTTCAAGTTCAAGGCTAATGTGGACAAGAGCAAGTTTACAAGTAGAAAGAAAGCACAGGTCAGGATAAAAGGAAGAAGGTAGGGATGAAGGAAAAGAAAAAAGAAAAGGGAGGGAGAAAAGGAAAGAGGAAGGGAGGAGCTAGCCAGGTCAGGCTCTGAGGGGAAGACGTTGTATGACAAGGATATAACATGAGCAAAAGCATCTGCTGTGCCTGGGTTAGAGAAAGATGCGTGTCAGAGAACCCAGAGGGAAGAGTGGCAGATGCAAGGCTTTATTAGCATTTGAAGCTGGCACAAATATATCTAAACCCTGCCTCTGTGTATTTTGTTTGCTGTTATTTGGTGCTGGTGTTTAACTTTTGTAACGCCGGGGATTGAACCCAGTTCGAATAGACAGGCACTCTACCACTGAGCTATGTTCCAGTTCCTAAAACAGCTCCAAAGGAGTCACTGAAACATAACCATGCACACAATTCAAATAAAAGCAAAAACAGTGGAGTATATTCAAATTAAGTACAACCATTATGAGAGATTACATTTCTGCCTCCTTCCTGGCAATTTCTGCAGGCAAGACATTACAGTACCTCCCAGACCCCTTAACACCCTCTTCATTTCCATACCTCCCCAAATTTCCACAAAGAGCCAGAATTTACTTTACACTCTAGAGATGGACAACCATCATGCTTTCAAATTACTTTGGCTGTCAATACCCTCCATGGAGCACTTCTGCTATAAGAGCATGCTCTTAATCTGAGTTAAAGGCATTGAGCATTCAGGGAGAGAATTAAAGAATCCACTCTGTGCATTGGCCTGGAAGAGTAAACTTCTAGGGACAGGCAAAACAGCTTATCATCTTACATGAGTGCTGGTGATGAAGTAGTTTTATGTTTGTGGTCTGGGAAGCGGTTCAACTAGAATTTCATCAATATTCTCAATTCAAAGGCTTTTTATGGAGATCTGAAATATGTAACTTAAAAAGTATAAACTTTAGCTGGGCGGTGGTGGCACACGCCTTTAATCCCAGCACTCGGGAGGCAGAGGCAGACGGATCTCTGTGAGTTCGAGGCCAGTCTGGTCTACAAGAGCTAGTTCCAGGACAGGAACCAAAAGCTACAGAGAAACCCTGTCTCGAAAAATAAAAAATAAAAAAAATAAAAAGTATAAACTTTAAAGAAACTCAGTGAATAGCCTATTTTAAGGTCATTTACTTAAGAAATTAAATATAAACAGAGTCTAGTACTTTTATTTTCTGATTCTGCACTCTGTGACAGATGGTTTTCTGGCATTTTACCTGTTTACACGGATGACAGGAGTCTAAGGCTGATGAGAACACTTCGCTTTACCAGAGGTGATGGGCACATTGGGCCAGCTCTTGACCTCTGCGTACCTGTGGCCCCACTCTCTTCCAATTGCATCCACACCATGGCAAAGGCCTATTTCAGCACCAACAAGTGGCAAGCCACTTCAAAGGCCTTGATCTGTTTTATAAACAGAGCTGAGAAACTAACAGAAATTGTGATCTCATCTTTTTTTTTTCAACCCTTCCCTACCTGTATATTTTGGATACACTCTTGAAATAAAGTCAATTTTGTTTGGCAAATTCAATGTCATCCTTTTAAGACAGGGGGACTGCAAAATCGAGTAGAGAGCACCACTATAATTGGAATTTCTTAAAAAAAATAATAATCGTTTGCCTGAAGAGATGCACACAACAAAAACTTTTAGAAGGTGCTGCCTACTTAATACTAGGAAATGAGCTGGCAGACAAATCTCACATCCTCCAAACCTGTCACGAAATTTCGAAAAACAACACGTGGTCCCTTCAATAATTAGTTTCCTTCAATCAACATGTATTTAGCTAGGTGTACTAGATGTCTTGGAAGCAAAACAAGGAGGGTATTTTGACTGCCAAAGAAAAGTTCCTTAGAAACAATGCCAAGGCACTCAACCCGAAGGCTAAAATCCTTAACTTGCTCAAAAAGCCAGAGGATCATTTACAGCCCAGTGTTCCAAAAGGCTCACATTCAGGTGAGAGGACAAAGGTCACTGCTCAGGTGTTCAAGCTAAGAGCCAGCCAAGTGCACTCGTAAACTGCAGTATGCAAAGCAAACGCAGACAGAAGTGTTGCAACACGCACCCACACCTCCTCAACCCCGCCCCCCAGTCGTCTTTATAAATAGAGGAGGCTGTGAGGGAACTGTCCAAGGTTACCACCTGATACGAAGGGAATGCCTCGGTGAGGAGCATTCGTAAAGAAAACGAGCGAACTTTATGTTCTTACAGGGCACTGCTATTCCACATCTAAGCGGCTGACAAAGTGTTAAGCAAGGTACATGAGGCATAAAAATAAGACTTCCTTCTCAAGAGGCTTTAAATGTCAAGAAGCAATTGACCGAAAGAGGGAGATCTCTAACTTCCCAAAGCAGCAGCCCCCTGGAAAGGTACCAGAGGCAGCGGAACTCACAGGCAGGACGGTACTGCCCCCCTCCCCAATGCTAAAAGTTTAAACAGGCACCCGACAGGCCTACGGTGGTCGGAAACTTCCCTAAACAAGAAGCAACCAGACGCCCGCAAGTCTCCGCCCTCGGGCAGCCCCAGGTGCCCTCCTGCCAGGGTGTCGCTTCCTCCCCGGGCCTTCTCTGCCACTTCACCCCTCTCCAGGACACTCGCTGGCCTGCCTGGGCTTCCAGTGCCGGCCGGGGTCCCGGAGTCCCGAGAGGCTGGGGAGCATCTCCCGGGGCCCTGGCCTCAGGCCTGCCCTTCGGAGGCCATCCCGGCGCGCCCAGCGTCCACAGCCGGGCCGCGACCCCCGCCCCCGCCGCCGATGGCCCTCACCTCCTCGGCGTGCTTGCGCAGCGCCTTCTCCCGCTCGTACTGGGTGATGAGCTGCTCGTTGTCGTCCCGCAGCAGCTCCAGCTCCACCTGGTGCTCCTGGTCCTGCGCGAACACCGAGTCCAGGTTCTCCAGCACGGCCACCACCAGTGGCATCAGCTCCTTGACCACCTCCTCATCGTAGCGCCCGATAAGCCGCTCGAACTCACGGTAGATGGAGCCGGCCAGGCCGGACACCCGCTCTGACATCACGGCCCCGGAGCCGCCGGGCTCCTCCTGGTACACCACACCGTCCTCCAGCTCCATGGTGGCAGGCGGGCGGTCCCGGGCGTCGCCGGCTGAGGGGCGGCACGGGCCCGCACGGGACGGGCACGGCGGAGGCTGGGGCTGGGCCCCGCGGGATGGGGGCCGGGGCCCGGGCCGAGGAGGGGAGGGGTGGGGTAAGCGCACTCACCCCAACCGCCGCTGCACCAACTGCCGGGGCGGCCCGGCCGCGCGCGCTCCGCGTCACCCGTGGGGCGGGGCCGGCGCCGCGTCGCCCCGGTGGGCGGGGCCCCCGCGGGAGGCCAGGCGCGGCCGGAGGCGGGGCCTTGCAGCTGCGTGCGCCGGCTGTGACGCCAACACCCAGCGCCGCGCGGGTTTGAGGCGCGAGGTGGACGGAGTTACTGCGGGAGGGTGGGTTGGCTGGGCGCTCCCAAAGGAAAGGGAGGGGCTCTGGAGGGTGACAACTCTTTGCAGAGGGTGAGCGTCCTCTTCCCTACAGCTCACGCAGCGCCTTCAAGATGCGCCAGACGTTTGGCCCCTGTTTCACAGACAAAGAAACTAGGCCCAGGCTGTGGGTTAGTCAAGGTCACGCAGCTAGAGCAGGAAAGAGAGCCGGGACTGCAACCACTTCCTACGGAGAATTCCAGACTCAGAGAAGAAGGAAAACAATCGCAGTTAAGAGAAAGGACTGTCTAAAGGCTAAGGCTGCCTCGAGTAATCTCATACTGTTTAGGGCTAGAGAGGAGTAGGGATAGCTTTAACCAGAAGTGCAAAGCATCTGGAGAAGCGAAAGTGAGTGTCACTTATAGCATTTTTCCAAACACTGGGTGTCTCTGCTCCCCGCCCACGAAAGGCATTTCTAGGCTGCAGCCAACCACCCCACCCCCTCTCTGATCTTGGAAGGAGGCGGAGCCAGTAAGTGAGAAGAAGGGAAGCTAGGAGGATATGGGGTGGAGTCAGTGGTGGGAATAGATCCCGTGACGTGAGGTCACTCCGCTTGGGAGTGCGTCATTTATGGGGAATGCCACAACACCCAAGCCCTGGGCAGACTGAGTCAAAGATCACTTCCCTGTATTCTCATTTCCCATCCTCAAGTTGGCCGGAAGGCACTCCTAAAAGCGCCTTCTCTTTGCCATAGGTGACTCAGAAAAAACCGACTCCCACTCATCTAAAAATAAGGGAAGTTATTGGGGAGAAAATCGGCCACCTCCTGGGGTTCTAAATACCCTCAATTTAGTGTTTAGAGGATCCAGAAAGTCACCAAAGCCTCCTACTTTTTTGATCTTCCCAGAAACCACCAAAAGTGCTATGGAGGTTGAACAAGGGCCAATCTATAAACGCAAAAAGAAAAAGATGAAAACTGGGATCAGGACTAACTTTGTGTTTGTTTTGCCCATTTCTCTCACCACCGCTACACTACCCCTTAGTTTGAGGTCTCACCCTTACCCCCTGTGTATATCCAGGTTATAGGAATGCTGCCCAGTTAGGTGAGTGTGAATCCAAAGTAGCCTATCTCTTTCTTTTTTTTTCAAACTTTTATGTGGGTCTTGAGGAAGGTTGTTTCCTAATTTTTTGAGAAATCGCCACACTGACATCCAAAGGGGTTGTACCAGCTTGCATTCCCACCAACAATGCAGAAGTGTTCCGTTTACCCCACAACCTCTTCAGCATAAGTTGTCATCAGTGGTTTTGATTTTGGCCACTCTTATAGGTGTAAGATGGAATCTCAAAATTGTTTTAATTTGCATTTCTCTGATGACTAAGGATGTTGAACATTTCCTTAAGTGTCTTTCAGCCATTTTAGATTCCTCTGTTGAGAGTTCTATGTTTAGGTCTGTACTCCATTTTTTTTTATTGGATTACGTGTTCTTTTGGTGATCAATTTCTTGAGTTCTTTGTATATTTTGGAGATCAGACCTCTGTCTGATGTGGGGTTAGTGAAGATCTTTTCCCATTCTGTAGTCTGTCGTTTTGTCTTGTTGACTGTGTCCTTAGCTTTACAGAAGCTTTTAGTTTCAGGAGGTCCCATTTATTAATTATTTCTCTCAGTGTCTGTGCTGCTGGGGTTATATTTAGGAAGTGGTCTCTAGTGCTAATGAGTTCAAGTGTATTTCCCACTTTCTCTGCTATAAGGTTCAGTGTGGCTAGCTTTATGTTGAGGTCTTTGATCCATTTGGACTTGAGTTTTGTGCATGGTGATAGATATGGGTCTATTTTCATCTTCTACATGTTGATATTTAGTTATGCCAGTACCACTTGTTAAATATTCTTTATTTTTTCCATTTGATATTTTTTGCTTCTTTGTCAAAAATCATGTGTTCGAAGATGTGTGGATTGATATCCGGATCTTCTGTTCAGTTCCATTGGTCCTCCTGTCTGTTCTTATGCCAGTACCAGGCTGTTTTCAGACTGTAGCTCTGTAGTAGAGTTTGAAGCCAGGGATTGTGATGCCCGAAGTTCTTTTATTGTACAGGATTGTTTTGGCTATCCCGAGTTTTTTGCTTTTCCATATGAAGTGAGTACCATTCTTTCGAAGTCTTTGAAGAATTTTGCTGGGATTTTGTAGGAGGATCTTCTTTCTATGTGTTGCTTTCATTGGTCAAATAAAGAAACTGCCTTGACTTTTTGCTAGGGCAGAATTTAGATAGGTGGAGTAGACCAAACAGAATGTTGGGGAGAAGGGAAGTATGGCAGAAGAAGGAAGCCATGGCTCTCTTCTCCGAGACGGATGCTGGTTAGACTCATGCCGGTAAGCCACAGTCAAGTGGCAATACACATTAATAGAAATGGGTTAATTTCCTTTCTAGTTTCACCTTCAAGTGGAAATGAATGCTACTGCATTTTGGAGGAAAGAAATTTTGTTTTGAATTTACAAGGACTCACAGCTAAGAGTTTGCTTTTAGTCTCACAATAGACTTTGAACTTGGGCGTTTAAATAATAGTAAAACTGTTAAGGGGCTGGAGAAATGGCTTAGTGGTTAAGACCTGTGTACTATTCTTGCAGAGGACCAGAGTTCAGTTCCCAGTACCCCTGTGGCTTACAACTGTCAGTATATCTAGCTCCAAAGTGATCCAGTGCCCTTTTCTGACCTCCAAGGACATGCACATCACACACACACACACACACACACACAGAGAGAGAGATAAAGATAAAAATAAATTTTTGAACCTTATAGAAGAGAAATTAGGAAGTACACTTGAACGCATTGGCACAGGGAACCACTTCCTAAATATAACCCCAGCAGCACAGACACACGGTTTGGACTGGTTCTGCTTGAACTGGTCTCAACCAGTTTGAACCGGTCTCAACTGGGCTTGACTGGTCTGAACCGGCTTGAACCAGTCTGAACCAGTTTCTGACCTGTTTGAACCGGTCTCGACCAGTTTGACCTGGTTAGGATTGGTCTGAACCAGTTCGAGCCAGCCTCGACCGGTCTTAGTAGGTCTAAACCGGTTTTGAACCAGTCCCGACTGATCTGAACCGGCTTGAGCTGGCCTCAACTGATCTGAACTGGCTTAAACCGGTCTGAACCAGCCTCGACTGTTCTGAACCAGTTTGAACCGGTCTGAATCGGTCTTGGCCAGCTTGACCTGGTCTTGACCCGTTTGAACCGGTCTCAACCAGTCTTAGCCAGTCTAAACTGGTCTCAACCAGCCTCGACCGGTCTCAACTGGTCTGAACCGCTTTGAACCGGTCTCGACCAGTCTGAACCGGTCTCAGCCGGCTTGAGCTGGCTCCGAGCCGATTTTGGCCCGTTTGAACCAGTACTGACCGGTCTTAACCAGTTTGAACCGGTCTCAGCCGGTCTGAGCTGGTCTTAACCATTTTGGGCCGGCCTGAACCAGCCCGGACTGGTTTTGAGCTGGTCTGAATGGGCTTGAACCGGTTTCGACCAGTTTGAACCCGTCTGGGCTGGGTTGAGCCGGTCTCAGCTGGTTTGAACTGGCCTCAACCAGCTTGAACCGGTTTGAACTGGTCTCGTCGGGCTTGATCCAGTTTGAACCGGCTAGAACTGGTCTGAACCAGTCTCGGCTAGTATGAACTGGTCTTGACCATTCTAAACTGGTCTGAACAGGTTTGAGCCTGTCCGAACCAGTTTGAGACAGTCTTAACTGGCTTGAACCGGTCTGAACTGGTTTTGAACTGGACTGAACTGGCTTGAACCAGTTTTATGTGAATGAATGTGTTGCCTGCATGCATGTCTGGATACTACAAGCCTGCAGTGCCAGAAGAGGGTGTCACACAGCTGGAACTGGAGTTTTAGGTGGTCGTGAGCACATGAGCACCATGTATGTACTGGGGATGGATAGAAGGATGGATACATGGGGGGAGAGAGAACTGGAAAGGTAGCATAATGGTGCTTACTTAGCATACACCAGGCCATAGGTTGAATTGCCAGAAGTACAATAAATAAATAAATAAAACTATATATTTAGAGACAATTAGTTCCAGTGGAACACATAACCTGGTATAAGAGAGTTGAAATAAAATGGTTTTGAAGAACTTTGTAGTCTCATATAGAATGTCATTACGAACAACTTAGGTTGGTGGGAACCAACTTATGTTTACTGAGCACCTACTCAGTGCCAGTCACCACAGCAAAGACTAGAAAGACGTAATTTCTTCACTTGTAGAATACTGGGTTTTTTAAAAATAAATTATTTTCATGTTCATGGGTGCTTGCCTGCATGTATGTATGTCTGTGTGAGGATGTTGGACCCTGGAGTTACAGACAGTTGTGAATTGCCATGTGGGTGCTGGGAATTGAACCCAGGTCATCTGGAAGAACAGTCACTGCTTTAACTGCTGAGCCATCTCTCCAGCCCTGAATATTGGGATTTGTTAAAGACTGAAGTTTTCAATTGGGTGTGTTGGTGCATACCTTTATTTTCAGCATTCAGGAAGCAGAGGCATTCAGATCTCTGTGAGATAGAGGCTAATCTATCTGGTCAACAAAGCAAGTTTCAGAACAGCCAGGCTGTTACACAGCGAAACCCCTGTCTTGAAAAGAAAAAAAGATCATCCTAAAATTCTGATTCTATGGCTCAGTGAGTAAAGATGTTGCTGCCAAATTTGGTGCTGTGTATTCCGTTCCCAGCACCCACATGGAAGCAATGAGGCTACTCCCATAAGTTGTCTTCTGACCTCTGCAAACACACACACTAAATGTAATTTAAAAATTAAAATTATAGGGGACTGGAGAGATGGCTCACAGGTTAAGAGCATTGCCTGCTCTTCC